TCGTACATTGAGAATTTATCGGAAGATTTAATCGAAAATGTGCCACTTTATAGAAGGTATGTAGATGGTATCGTAGTCATCAGTGATAAGCCCTGTTCTGCCAACTCTCATTGCAGTCTTACTGTCTCCTGTTTAACTCAGACCACTTTTTACTAGCCACTCACCTGACACTTTTATAACCTTGAACTAACTTGTCAATTTTCCTACCCCATACTCTACAAATCTATTATGATTAATCACCATCATTGTCTCCCGTTTTACAATATTTTCTAGTTGATTTCAGCCTAGCACGTTTGTCACACTCAAATACGACTATTTATTTTGACACCCCATAACTGATCTGTTATTCTACGTTAAAAAATGTATCCGCCGCCGCATAACTGGCCATTATTGTAACGACAACAAATATTATATTTTATAGTTGTAAGAACCTGAAGAGAAATTATTGGAAAGAATATTCTTCGTTCAGATTGACTTTTAATTCATAATATGGGAATATTTCACACTATCAAATCTTGAAGATTTGCAAATATATATGCAATGACACTGAGTTGGAGATATTCTCTCAGTGTGTTATTGTTTGGAGCAGAACATTCAACAGAATTCAAGTTAAATCCAAGGGATTGTTGCACTGACAGCTGCGAAAACTGCGAAAAGCTGATTAAAATAGTTTGCACTGTCAACGTTCTTTGAATTATCCTCTTTCATTGTATATGCCACTGAGAAGTAGACAGTTGGAGAAGAAGCTAATATTCTCGTGAAAATACAAATTGTTTAGTCTTCTCATAGTTGCTGATACAAATTAAAACTTATGTAATTATATATAGAGAGAGGAGTTCCGCACAGTCAAGAAATAAGTATTTATTTCTCTCTATAGTTACATTAATTTGAAAATAATGAGTACACTAGAATCAATTGAATCCTTAATTTCATTTGAATTATTCTACATAATTATCTGATGAAATCCTACAAAAAGTACAACGTGCACTGTCAACACGGGGCCTTAAATATTCTGACCAATCTGTTTCACAATAGTTTCTTAACTAGCCTTATTCAATGCTTTAGGTTTTTAAAAAATGTGTACAGTTAATTACCTCAGCAGTTTATAGACTCAGGTAGTTTTGCATATTTAATTCATGGGGACGGTTGTTAGCTAACGAATTTCTGTAGTCATGCAGAGTAAACTGAAATTTTCATTTTGAAGATAACATTCTTGCAAACGGCCTATCATGTGAAACTTATTTTTTAGAACAGTTTCTAAATAGAGTAGAAGAAACATTGATTTTTCTCCCTAAACATGACTCATCCTGCCCCAATGTTTTCTGTGGTTACGTAACCTATAACTTTTTAAACTCCCTCTAGTCAAACCTTATTTCTACCCACAAAACATCTGTTGAACTCTGCCTTTTTGTCTGCAAGCTTAGTCATGCAATTCTACTATAAGGAGATAATCCCCTTCTCTCCTAATTATTTAACAAATTGCATCATTCCTGACCAACGTTACTCTTAGTTCCAATCGATTACTCCTTATCATTATAAAAATATGTTCACATGTTTAATTTCTAAGAAAAAGACGTAAACAGAGAAGAAAATTTTCTTCTCGATGATTCATTTTCATAAGCTGTACAATTATAACGTTCAGAGAAACCTTGTTTCGATTTTTTTCTTCTTAAACACACTGGGATTATTTTAAATAATTTATAATGATTCAATCTGACTCAGAGCTCAAATTATTCCAGGAAATTTTTAACATCTGCGATCTGGAAACGTAGGATCGTAATTATATTTAACAAATTCATTAGACCAATCAGATACTGAACAAAACTTATCCTCGAAAAATGCATTACGTAATGTAAGGTGTAACCTAGAAGGAATGACTAATTGGAAGTTAGAGAAGAGGCAGAAATTGACATAACGTGATAAGTGTGAGGCAATGACTAATCAATAAACTCGTGTAGAATGGGCAGGAGCTAGTGGAAGGACGATAAAGTGTTTTTAACATAAAATCTGTATTAAAACTCGATGTTATTGATAAACAGTAATAGAATGGTAGCAAAAATATGGATTTGCAATTAATACTGTTCTCTGAGCTTGTTGGTTTAGTTGTGGAGCAAATCTATTATTATGCATTATTATTATTGTCTCCATTATTTCAAAAAAAAATGGATGATGACAATAATAGTGATAATAAAATAATAGCTGCAATAACAATAATATAATTACGATAATACAGCGTATGCAAATGATTCGTCGGAAAAAAACATTTTCTTCGCTGTTTACGCCTTTTTCTTATGACCCAGTATGGGAATATTTCGTTCATTAATGAATTTTAGAAGTGTACTAGTTATAACCAGTTAAGAATCCACGAAATAATAAAAAGAGTTTAGATTATCCTGGTACATTTATCGTTCTTGCCTTATTCAAATTTATTAATGGGAAGAATTGTCTGATGTGATTTTTAAGAGACTAAAAAGTTCACGATAGACCGATAAACACCTTTTGATGGTGGCTAAAAGCTTGATTCAACTTGATTACTATACCGTACGCTGTTATTTTACCCGGCCATTATGTCCCTAGTAGAATGAAGTACGTGATGTGAATTCCGCTGTAAGCCATTAGTGAGTAATTTTTCAGAAAGAAATAAGCAAGACTCGAGTAAAATGAATTAATAAATCTTAGAGTCATAAATGATCAGTGATGTAAGAATGTTTCCATGTACCGAGTTGTGAAGAATTTAGAAAATATTACCTAAATAAAATGATCATATTACCTGACATATCAACGCGAAACTTTGCACAAAATGCATCAACCGGTAGAACCTCACAACCTCATCGACTGACTTTCTCTGTTTACCTAACTGTACTGATCACATTACTCCGTCTTTATGGCACAGCATAAGCTGCATTAATATTCATTCCGACCAATATATCCCGTTGGTTTATCGTGATAGGCAAGCTTCATGACCACATAAAGACAGAAGCTACTTATTGAGCGAAATTGAATATCTATTCAAGAACAAAATCGACACAGTACACATGAGTATATCAGTGTAGAGGCTGAAAGAAGAATGATTAATGAAACTGTTTAACGAAAATCAGATAAATAAGTCGACTATAAATGTGTTACAGTAACCTATTTAACAAGATCTAGACTGAAATTGGGTGTAAATGTATCTGTACCACTACCATCTTCATCATAAACTGACTGGCTTATCAGTCAAATCTTACACCACATAACTTCAATCGTCTATGCATGTTAGAAACTGCCTGGCTTTTTCTTTCATTATCCAGTCAACTATGATGCAAAATATTTGCGTGCACTTTAGACATCGCATGCCATTTAAATTCTCCATGGAGCATAAAAGTAAATAATTTCTGAATTTTTGACTACTCATAAGTAGGCGTACAGTAAGAAACGAAAATAGATGGTTGGAGCACAGTTCAACTGCAGCAAAAATACCATGAATCAAGATTGGTCATAAGTGTGTTTGTGCGTACTACAAAAGATAGTAAATACAGTTAGAATTGATGATTATCAGATGATAAAGTCACTGAGGTAGCTGTAAATTACTCTAGAGTTCTTCATGCCAAGGATATATTTTGTCATTTACACTTATAGAGAGAAGTTGATGATTAATTGTATCTTAGTGCATTCCTAGTTTTTCGATTATCAGTGCAAGGAAAGCAGAAGACTTCACCACATTATCGTAATGAATGGTCAGCTTACTACTTTTCACGGAAAATTGGGTCACTTAAAATTCATACAATTAGAAAAAAGGAAAAGTATCTCAGGAAAATGTGATAATCCATCAGTGGATAGAGATGTGTGGGACACAGAATAGTCTAAATGAAATTTCTTTGTGATATCCTCATTAGTCGTCGGCCACTGGCTCTTAGCATCACCAACCATCTATCGTAGACAAGCAGTCACAGGCTAATGTACCATTGCTGTATTCTGCTTCACTGAGCCTCAAATCCTCTGGTAAACCAACCATTCACGTGCAAAACACTTGAGCAATCAATATATCTTTCACTCTATAAGAGATTTACTAAACAGCTTTGCATCTGACTTTTGGACTATAAGGAAAAGCCAGCTGAATATTTAATCACTGCTTTGCAAATATTATCCTGCGGTCATCGTAATAATCATTTAAATATTTCAGTCTGCCAGTCATCTTTCATGATCACTTTAAAGTTTATAATGAAAGTATGTGGTACATGCTATTATGACAGTCTGTATCCATAAACCAAAGTCAGTACGTTTCATAGTTGGTTCCTACCACCTCAACACGATGTACTACATGCATTATGCGTCGGAAAGACAGTGTTTCAAATTATCTAGATTAAAATATAGTGTCATTTCTTTAAATACTAATTATGAATACCCTGAAAACATTTTTCCCGCTGAGTATCAAGTCACACCATCTTGTATACCATAGTTCTTTTTTTCAAATAAATAATGGAAAATTATTGGTAAACTATTTAGAACCCAAAGTCTTCAGTTTGAGCATAATCACACAAGGTTGGGTTGTGTAACATGTTTATCTTGCAGAACTGATCCGCTTGGAGATTTTCCTCCATAGTCGATATTAATCAATGAAGCAACAGAAATCAGACAGTGCAATCGATACATCACACCTTTACTTAGACAAATGCGTCTATTTAAGAGGTGTAAATTGACTCTTTCAGGTTTCTCAATATCACGTTAACGTTAGGATGTTGGACCGGAATTCACTGCAATCAACACCTGAAAAGTGTGACCATTTTTATGACGCTAAATACGAAAATGTAGGCTGTTAACTAGCTTTAAGACCACTGAATTCTTTTTCTCCATTGAAGGTCAACACAAAGCTTCATTTTACTTGTGAATATGAAAAGAGATCACTAAAGCCAGAGATATTCGCTTATCGTATTGATTTTCCACTAACGAGTACAATCTGTTTATCATAGAGACTACATCAGAATTAAGCCTCCGTCAGTCACTAAGTTAATCCTGAAACAAAAATCTATCGAGAAGTTAAGCACGCAGTAATCAGGTTAACGCATAAAAACGAATGACAAATCTGCACATTCAGGCAGATTAGGTTAGACTGGATGTTGAAGTTCGTTTAACTGATTCAAGTGCTGTTAACATATACACATAATGGAATTCGATAAAACTAATGCAGTTTAAATCCTACTGATCGATCATGTCCTGATCAAATGAAAACCATTCAGTTTGCAGTTATCAAAGAATTAGTTGTAATTCATTCAATATAAAGTAATTGTAACACTTTTCACTCATTTAGTTACAATGACTGATTTATAAGCCAACTCATCCTTATAGCAGAAAAGTTGACTTTCCTATTATTGTTAGTTCGGAAATAAAATCACCAATTTTTCTCTTTTTTAACACATTGAACAACTTACACATAAATAATTCAGCTATTCCACAACTTTGTTCAATTGTTAAATAATTTATACCTGCATTTATTAGAAAGTAAATAAGTAACAATAAAAGTAGTGTTAGTATTTCTTTTTCAAAAAAATAATCTAATATTCAATCAATTCAACAAGTTTCAATGTTCACTTATGATCAGTGAACTTGACAGAGATGGTTTAATTGTTATTTATTGATCAACCAATTTCTGCCCATTTTCTAATGCATGCTGACTCGCAGTTGAGATGAGACCTTCCCAAATGGCTGATTTTATGTATTCTAAACAGCTATGTATACTTAATTCATATGAAAGTTGAAGTAAGCAGATAGTGGCTGAAGTTAATCAGTGAAGCCTCTCGTGCATCTAGTTAGTAGTATAGAAGCTCCAGGAAAAGATCTATCATCAGCTTTCAGTCTAATTTTAACTATCCTTTCTGACTATAAGGAGGTTCACTCTAAAAACCAGTACTATATGCGAAAATCTAACTTATACTTTAAAACGTATTTAACAATATGAAGGAAATTAACGAGAGGCACGTATTAGAACACTTTGAAGTTTAACAACATTGTAGAAATCCGTTGTTTCCATGAGATCTGAAATATTGCTGTCTGCTTTCATAGTCATCACAGAGATTATAGTTCACAATTAAAGACAGTCTACAGAGTCAAACTAGACGGACAGGTCATGTCCTGAGCATATTCGAAGATATCACCTGGTAGTTGATATAATGAACGCTAAACTAGGAATCAAATTATCAATTATCATCAGTTAGTAGACTTTGGAATAGCGTTATTAAAAGAAAGAGTTTATCCAAAATATGTGGTGTATTGGGGCAGTTGCATTTCGAACAGTTTGATAACACATTTACTTGTCAAATCAGATTTTCACGAAAAACGAAAAGCCAACAAAAATAAACAAAATAATAAGAGATTTAAAAATATGAGGGGAAATAATTAGCACAACTTTTGGTAATGTAATCACGACAGTTTAAAGGTAATTTATTATTACCTTTAAACACGCGTATAGCTACCGCCTCTGCTTATCTCAGTAAACACCCGTGATTGCTTTCATACATAATCTTGAAAGGCTACAACTATTCAGGCCGTATATATTACCGATTTCCTATAATAATTTGAGCGCTGAGTCAGACTAAACCATTAAAAAGTACTCAAAATGATCGCAGAGTGTTCATCAAATCAAAACAAGATAATTTTTTTAAAGGTTTCGGTTTCTAAGCCACAACTTGTTGGGTGGAATTACTCAGATTTTATTCATCATCAAAACAGATGGTCAAAAATTATATAAACTGAAGTGAAGTTTTTTTACTGTGTGTTTTGATACTTAGAAAAACCTAAGTATTTCTGCCGAAGAAGTTGTGGCTTGCACTGCGAAACATCCAGAAAAATCTTTTATCTCGATTTTTAACACACTCCGAGGTCAGTTAAAGTAATTTTATAACCTTGAAAAAACGTTTTGATATCAATCTTGTGATTCATATCAGTGAAATGTTTTGCTATAAACAAGGTTGGTATTGTGTCACCCATGTTCATCAAGGTCTTACAGTTCAGTTGTTGCTCAGCCAATCTGTGTATATGTCCTCCCATCCTCAAGTGCAAAGCGGGATTACTTTTCTATAAGTATTTATGATGTCAAACAATTATAAATTGGTATATAATCGGTAAGTAAATTGTGCGTCGGTGGTACAGCGGTGGTGGTTCGAAGGTCGTTCCGCGGTCGACGGACTCCTTTACCTCCCTAAGCCAGTAATAAGACTGGTAAAGAGGGAAATTTGGGCATGAGGCTAGCAACCCCATTCCGTAAAAATAAAACACCACTGCTACTAGAACTTCAAAGCCCTAGCATGAATCCCTATGTCCCACTGGGAACGCAAAGGAATACAGAAAATAAGTAAATGCATGACGGAACACGATCGCTTGAGCACTGTTTTGCTTTGTGGTCAACCGAGTTTTTGTAGTTTTTGTGTTAATTATAAGCCGGGCTACATAGTACGGATAACAAATGTAATTCGTTTTACAATCCTGCTATTCATTTCCTAATTGTAAGGCGATTTATTGCAGACCATTTCCTTGTAATATAATCGAGTGTAGGTTTCGAAACTAGTTGATCTCTACAGCGATTCAAAAACTACAAAGGCCATCCTTTTCCAACAGCTGTGTCCGTCAATTATTTCCTCCAATCATCTAAAGTATTAGCTGTACGAATATACTGAATCTTCTTAAATAAGCCCATAGCCAGGTCTCTATTATATTTTAAACGACAAAAGCTGTGAAAATTTAAATGTTGACCAGTACAACGTATCATGGTGTCGAATCACCTAGATTAGAAACTAACATGCAACTTGACTTATGAATTAAATCAGTACTATTAAGGTCTAGATACATCACACTAATCTTTCCTGCAGTTGCCGTTAAGCAAACCAGTACCTCTACAGATTTAATTTACCACATTTAGTGACTATATTTATCAAGAATCTATCTTGCATGTATATATGTATATATATACATGCATAAAATAAAACGGTTATAGAAAATTAATCTGTACATGAACTCATTGACATACAAATGTGTTCACACTTGATTTATAGAGTTCACGAAACTGTAAATCTTTCTAGGTTAGGGTTTGAGAAAGAGTATAAAAATGATAATTAGATGAGTAAAATTTATAAGATTATTTGTACGAATCGATAAATGTTATATATGTAAGTGCAGAGCGCGAATCCGAGACAAAAAATCATTGTTTTACAAAGTAAACGAATACTTGTTGGTATGGAAGATAGTAGAAAACTGGCATCCAGTGGCATAGTTCATGTAGAAATAACTTGGATTATTTGAATTCAGGATTATGACATGATAATAATAAAAAATTTAAAACAATTAGTCCCTTTTATAAATTTGGATAGTGTTATTAGAAGACGGAGATTATCTGAAAAATGTGATGTATTAGCGCTATACATGTATGATCAGATTGTTCGAAATGTACAGCGCAAATACATCACATTTTTCAGATAGTTTCCACATCTTCTAATAACACTATCGAAATAATAAAAGGGAAGAAAGAATTAGGCGATTAGACAATAGAATGACCTCTGTTGCTACCCTGACATAAGTTGAAACATTTTAGTCAATTATATTACGTCATCTAACTTACTAACTAACTCAATCTTACTTTAGTTGCTGTCCAATTAACCTTGTTTCTATTTTAGATCATTCTTTTATTACTTGATCAATTATCTAGACTTGACAAACCTCATGTACACACACACACACACACAAATAATTAAATATAAATGCGATTGTACAGCTATATGAATGAATTCGCCGAAAAGAGTCTCTTCGCTGAACGTCTTCTCTTTTTCATATGGCTAAATTACTTTCCCATTTTCATTCATAAAGGGGAATAAGTTTAAGAAGTTTCATTTGTATATTGACGAAACACTAAAGTGCAAAAGAGATATTGTCTTCAGCCTTACGTGGTGTTGCATTATGTGCTATGGATCAGGCAAAATAAATTCTCTATATTTGCGTCAACCCGAATGAATTAATGTTTGTAGAAGAAAATGTCAGTCAGTTGACATCTACTCTTATTAGTTAACACTGGAAATTGTTGATGTTGAGTAGTTTGACTGTGCACACTACTTTAGATATACCCAAATCTATAGAGGTATTTCAAATGATGTATGCCTGTGAAAAACGACTAGTGAAACAATTCTTTATTACTACGAATGAGTCCATAAGTGACTTAATAATATGACCATCTCCTAGATTGTTTGAATATACTTCATTACATCAGTTGTCAATAATTTGAGTTTAAATCAACTGTGTTTTCCCACAGTCAACAACTATCAAGATGAGGTGGTGTTTGTTTCAATCTATGCAACGCTTCAAAAATCCAATTTAGATGAATATTAGTCTGAGATGTTTTTGATCCCCTTTTTGATAGTAATAAGTGTGTACAGATTTACAAGATTCCTTGGACATAACGTAAGCCTTCGATAGAGGGAATCAATGATGTACGGAATTGTGCTTTTAATTAATACTATAATGGTAATTTACTTTATATCTAATTTTACATTCATTGTGCCTAACAGAAACAAATTTCCAGTCTAAATATGAAAAGAGTGCACTTAGGTTTTGGTAAACTGAACCCTTGAGTTGATGGAATGTTTGCCATTTGGCTATCGAGTTCAGAGAAATAAGTGAGCAAGTAAACGCTTTGGATGTTGTCTAGAAAAACAATGAAAGCTTCGCATTCAAGCCATCCTACTCAGAGAACAGAACTACATCAAGAAAAAAGAACTTTTGTCTGCTTATTATCAATTTACAACAAGATATTTAAGCGAACAATATTGTTTTCAATTAGATCTTCTTCAGGCTTTACTCTAATTTACATAGATTTATATAAGAAACTTTTAACGAATTACAGTGAGTTCCTGGATCAAAGAATAAGAAAAAGTGTTAAATGTTTTGAATGTCAGTAATAACGATGACTATAATGATAATAAGAAGCTCAACAATTCAACAGATTTAGATGGAAAGGCTGGAAAGAATCTAACAAACACGCTTAAGGAGCTTAAGAAAAGTGGGGTTATCTCAGAGGCAGCTTATAACTCTGTTACACCTACTGGAAGCAATAGTTCACGATCGTATGGTTTGCCAAAAGTACATAAACCAAGACTTCCAGTCCTAGACATGTCCAATCCCAGCTAACATGGAGTGGCTAAGTGGCTAGTTAAACTCCTCCAACCATTACTCAAGAAACTGGTAGGTCGCAGCTTATATTTATATCTGAAGGCTGTTTAAGCATGTTTATATATATAAAGTAGCTGCTTAAGAAACAGTTTTAGTCTTCAATGAGCAAATTACATCCTGAATTTTGCAGAATAAACGATTGCGAGTTACACATTTAGCTGTACAAAGTGGAAATGGATCCAGAAACATTTAATTTCATAAGTTTATTTACCGACTTGATATTTATCTTTATTTCTCTAAATGCATTCAACATAAGGCTCCAAAACAGTACTTGTTTCTCCATCAGAGGCGAGGCAATAATCATAGATTAAAACCTATCGGAAGAATTTTCGTTCGTTCACTTTTATATTCATTTTATGTTATCTATTCAGAAGCTTCGGGTCGTGATATTTCAGCAGCACCTTTAAGATATATGCTTCAGAGTTCATTTTTTTTGTTAAAGATGCCTATAACATGCGGTTACCTGACCATTGACTGAAAATGCTTTCCATTCAAGTGAAATCAGTCATAAAGTTTACATTCTGAAATAAAACATGAATTAAAGTAATATGATTCACTGTTCGAATAACTGGAAATAGACCCGGTGTTTTCACGCAGAAGGTTATTCGTATAGTAAATTCTTACAAATAGTTTATATATATATATATATAAAAGGAAACAAGACAATCCGTCTTCTAAAATTCAGTGAAGAGATTCTAGAAGTATCGTATTTAGCGCTAAAATCTCACTTATCTAGCATATTTACCCTCCGAAAACAAATGTTTCACGTTGCACTTGAACTTGAGTGGGACGTTAATCGTGACAATTCATGTTTTATTTTTTGTGCAAGGAATTAGGTAAACTCAACTTTCCCTTAAGTAGAACAAGGTCAGAGAGATAAAATATCGTTCATTAGCTGAAATTTCAAGTTGGATTTTTAAATTAACTGGCATTAAATAGTGTTCTAATTCTAAAACTTAAAAATAAATCTAGTTTTCAAGTGAACTGAAAGTCACTTTGTATACTAGTTGATTCAAAATAGATTTTTTCAATTCATTAGGATACGGGTTGACAAGAGAAGACCTGATTGGGTAGCTAGTGTGACAACAAACAGACGTCACTCATTCACATAAAACTGTGTATTGCATGTGGTGACTGCAGTGAAATAATAAACTGAATGACACCTGAGTATTGTAGCTTAGCTAGTAGTGTTTTACACTAGTGATTTGGTGGCCACCGGTTCGAATCCTGCCTCTACGCCAGATGTTCATCTCATCTTCAATCATCACCAATTACATAACTTGATAAATTAGTAATCGAATTAAAAGTAGAGAATCGACATGCATTTAAGTTGTGACAAAATCAATTAATAAAATGAGGTGTGAAAAATAGAAGTAAATGCGAACATACCTCTGTCAGGGAACAACTCTTTCATTAGTTCAGATACTTCCCAAAATCCAATACGCAATACGGCAGCCTTAGTATTGTCTCCTAAATCTAAACCGTGACATATTCCCGCAGCTATCGCCACGACGTTCTTCAACGCTCCACACAATTCCACGCCAACATCATCTTGAGTTATAACAAGCTTGAGGTAATCGGACTGTATTGATAGGCAAAATATTGACATAAAGAAAGTACCATTTGTTAGGCCTTTTGAAAATATGGAGTTTATTTTTTGATGTACCCGGAATTTTGTGACATTTTATTTATCTTTTTGTTTTATTTTGATTACAGCTTGACGTCACACTGTATTTTCGGTAGAAGTATGGAATTTTCAACATGCGATATCGGTAGCCGAAATTTTGCAGGCCGACCACTGATATCAGGTGTGCGTCGGCAGGGGATCGAACCTTGGACCATGTACATGGTCGGCGACAGTCCTAACCACTGTGCCACTGACGCACACATATTCTTGAGCAGACATAATGAAATACAAATACATTACATTCCGTCATTTGATATTTATTCAGCTTCAGCGTTAATAAAATCAACTTCAGAATTGTCTTCTTCAAAATGCTACTCTCGAACTATTTTTTGAGGCATGTAGTTGGATCTTCGTCACACTTCTAGACTGGCCTTTACTTCACTTGTAAACGCATGCCTAATCAGAGGTGTATTTTCGAAAATCAACACACCGCTCACCAAACCATCTACCTTTTTTGCCATACTGCTGAACAGACTTAAACTGAATGAATTCCAGTGTTTTCATGTGGTTGTGTTCTCTGAGCTGGATAGTTAATTTGGGAAGCTTCCATCGCCCCACTAGGAAACATTTTCAGACGTCCATGGACGTCTTCCAAAAGAATGGATATCAACGGAACTTCATCAAAAGACATATACCTACAAGCCAACCTACGAAATCAAAGACCCCCAAGGAAAGCACCCAGAAAATCGCCCTACCATGTATAAAACACATCTCAGAAATCACTACAAGACCTTTCAAACCTTTAGGAATTGACGTCACACACAAACCAACAAAGTCACTTCACTCAATTCTCTGACAACCAAAAGACTCAACAGCGAAAGAAGATAAAACCAACACCATCTACAAAGTAAACTGTAACAACTGCGAAAAACACTACATTCGCCAAAGTGGACGTCCCCTTCGTCTTCGTATCCGTGAACACAAGATAGCCGTCAGAAGACATCACATACACTCCCTCGTATCACTACATACAAGCAACCACGGACATCAATTCGACTGGGACAACGTTCAAATATTAGACAGAGGAAACGCCAAAAATGCTAGAGAATTTTTAGAAGACTTCCTGGTATTCCAGTGAATTATCAATCAATAGACACATCGAGATAGGCAAAAATTACCAACCAATAAGAAGGAAACCTCACACACAAAGGGTCAAAGATCAAGTCAAGAAAACAATCAGTTCCAATCAGTTACAAGCAGCCTAGAGAGTGTGAAAACAAACAAAAACAACCTACCACATGCAAGGTCACCAGGAAAGATGACTGATAAACTCGTGGAGAAATCTAAAAGCTCACTTCAAATTGAAGTAGGCATTGAAGATGTTGCCTAGTGGGGCGATGAAACCTTCTCAGATTAACTGTCCAGCTCAGCTGAACTACAATTCTTCATCCTGTATGAATTCCAGTATCTCAAGATTCCAATTTTAACTAGTCTTCAAATAGTATACGAATTACTCACCTTGTAAAAATGGAAGATTAGGCATATTCAGAATAAAAAATCAGCAAACTACACAAGTCCAATGTTTGGTTCACTTTTGTGTGAAGTGGAAGTGAATGGTACAAGCTCAGTACATAACCTCGTTAAACAGTCATATGATGATCCACATAACAAGCGATTCACAGTAGAGCGAAGTGTAAACAAGAAAAAAGACAAGGCTGTTCAGTGTCCCTGCTGATGTTCCTGATTGTGGTGTACTGGACCATCCAACGGACTTTGGGGAGGACGAAAATGCATTGAGCCGAAACAAGACTTTAGAAGCTTCGAATTAAGTGTGTGACCTATGCTTCATGTCGCACAGACTCGAAGATCTTCGGGTGAAAACTGACAAATCATCAGCAAAGGCAGAAAACACAGAGTTTCGTGTGAACATGTAGAATCTCTACAACATAGAACGCCACGGTCATTCAGAGGAAGTGAGTGAGTATGGAATTCAGAAGAGTAAGTAGAAATTATATCTTTATTATTTGCAAGGTCATCTTTCCCCATTGAACGATGTTGAATGATTAATGAATGCTCTCCTGTGTGATTGACTAAGTTTCTCCGCTTCACTTTTTTCAGCAGTGTGTTTTCGAAATAAAGCTTGAAGCTGCACAACTGCCTCAGATGGTAATTCGGACAACTACTTCGATAGAAGGGTCGGTTACTAAAGACATAGAGAAGAAAAGATACCCAATCAAAAACAACAAGCATCAATCAGTGTCAATGGGAAGAATTCAAAATAAGTCGTCCCCTACACTTCCCTGATCTGGGAGCGTCGTTTCAACTACAGGAGGTATGGATGAACATGTCGAATTCCACAAAGATAGGATAGACACCATAGATATCTGGTGTGCGTCAGTAGGGGAACGAACCTCGGACCATGTGCATGGTCGGCAAGAGTCCTAACACTAATCCTAAATCAGTGCTTCTATATGATTCAGAGACTTGGTGCGCCAGTCACAAAAAGCCTTTCCAACATCCGGGTGCACATTTTTATCACCAGCTGCCCACAACAGGTACTGAAGATCAAATGACTAGCAGGAGAGCATGAGCGACAAGAAGCTCTGACAGCTCAGTGAACCAACCTATTACTGAGCAAATATGTAGTATGGAACGAGACGGACATTCAAGTGGTATCACACCCCAGGCTGTTGAATGGAATCCGAATGAGAACTGACCAGTTGAGTGTCCTACAGTGATATGGAGGAGATCGTGTGAAGAAGAAATGAAGGCTTGTAGGGAGTCGACGGCCCGGTTAAAAATGACGGAAAACAATATAGTACAGTGGTGATATGCTTCTGAAGCCCTATCTTCCACTTGGAACGTAAAGAACAAATAATAATATTGTAACCCATATCTTAACATCCTACTGAAAATTCACGGCTACTGGTTTACATTGAATAATTATTTGTAAATTTGGGTATACCAAATCGAAGTCTAGGAGGATCAAAGTGAAAATAACATTTTTAGCTTATATGTTTCCTTAAAAAATTTACCATGAGAGTCGCTGATCTTTTTATACCACTGTGTTGTGTAGGAAACTTGGCACTGTATTTCCACTCATATCTTTTAAGATAGAAAATATAGTGAAGATTACCTGTAGAAGCCTTTTTACTTCATGTGCATATGTGAGATTCTTGGAGCCGATAGTTGCCTCGGTGAAATGTTGTTTGGCCACTTCGACAGCTGTTGTAGCCCCGATAACGACCACGCAGCTTTTACCAGTTTGCTCTCGAATAACATCGCTTACCAGTTTAATTCTGTTTTCCTCGGGACACAGAATGAGACCCTACGTTTAAGACAAAGTGGGAGCATTTTGCAAAGCATCATTTCTATGTAACCGTGAGAATACAAAGTATGCAAATAACTTTACGACTTCTACGAACAGACACACAAAGAAACATAACTGAACGGATATAAAAACAAAAAGGTATATTACATGCATTCAGAAGCTCACAGACTCTAATATTTTCGTTCGGTCTCAACATCGTCAGATCAAAAATGAGAATACATTCATTGTCTAAGATGGAGGTCTTTGGTCTAATTTGAGAAGTGACATAAGTTTTGACAGTAGAACATAGAATACGGTTTCAGTACTGTATATTTTCTTATGGTTTTCTACTAACACCAGCTCCCAATAAAACGTTAATAGAAATAGCAAGCAGCAATTATGACACCGCGACGAGACAGACAGTGTTTCAGAAATTGCCCAAGTTCGATAATTAGATAAGTAGACTGGTACAGCAGCACATTCATGAAACGTGATGTGACTTATCTTCAAAATATGGCAGTCACCAATACGATGGCATCAGAGTTATTCAATTCAATTAGTGTCTTTATACGTGCAGTTCAGATTATTACACGATATGTAGTCTTAGAAACACCTGACATAAGGGAATGAAAAGTCATAATGACTATGAAATCACTTTTTAAAAAGTAATGCCTTTCAAAATTGTTCTTAAATAAGGAATCAGTTAAAATTCCTTAACACAAGAATAATTGAACTTCGCATGCCGTTACAGCAAAGCAACACTTAAAAAGGTCACTCAATCATCCAACTCCACGCATTAAATTGAAGAAAGTAAACAAATCTAACAATCTATGGTTGCTAAAACTATTCGGCCTGTACCAAATACTTTAGTGAGCAGCATAAGAGAAGCATATCCAAAAATGGAAGTAGCTGGGAATTCGGCTAGAACTATTTTGAGATAATGCTATGAAAGGCTATGAATCTCAGGGTCTATCAATATATACTGCCAGACTCTGGAAGATATCTCAATATTTGTCACCTACAAGGTGATTAAGGCCATTATAAAATATGTTTTGAAGAATCCCAGACGAAATCAAGTGAGTATTGTTCAAGGACCTTTATAAAGAAACAATGATACTTTGGTAGTCTTCGAAGTCGTTGTCGTGGCATTTCTGTAAAAATAATACATTTATTTAAAATGATATCTTATCGGTGTATTGTTGTTATTGTGTAAATTCACATCATGCAAGCATACGGAAAAGAAATTATGGATCAGTCAGCTACTAAAGTTGTGGAGGCCAAAAAATATCAAATTCTACGTTCGTTGTAAAATAGTAAAAATAATGAATTCACTGCACATCATAGGTGTTAATTGAAATATTGAATAAGCACACCATCTTGTTCACCACGCACTCCGGACGAAACAACTTCCCTTCTCCAGTTTCTTGCTTCCCACTATTATCAATCATCTCTGACCCGTACCTGATCAGTATATCCACGTTTTGGTTCCTTCGCTTCAATCTCCTTTTCTTTCTACAAGTACCCCTCGGGCTGTTGGCATACCCTTATGTGGAGTGAGCAACTGCAGATCAAAAGGAATACTTCATTACTTCAATTCTCTACGTCTTTATTTGTGTATCTTGAGACAATTATAACTCAAAAAATAACTGTATTATATATATATATATATATAAATTGTGTGGACTGAATTCCTGTCTACATGTATATTTATATTTTTATTTACATAGACATATATATGTATATAATCAAAGGTTTCTAATTCTTTTGTTACTTTCCTATGAGTATAAACGACCTTGACCGTTTGGTCCGCAACAAAATACATAGAACTCCTTATATGAGATGTCACATAGACTACATATCTTCTCTACTAATCTAGAGGTAGTACATCAATTTATGAAGAGTTCTTTACTGATTAAGCTCATGTTTTGTACCTTATCTTGCAAACATCTGTATTTTTCAAACTTACCTTACAAAAAGAGACAAAATATGCACCGTCTTTGATAAATTTCTTCACATTTTCTACCAACCATAGAATGTGGCATGATGGATAAGACACTAATATAATGTCAGCTTCTTCGACCACTTTCTGAATATTAGAGGAGGCGGAAACATTCGAAGGAATATCAAGTGTTGGCAAGTACTTGGGATTTATATGTTCTTGATTAATCCAAGTGGTTAGGCTACGACCGTTGCAATCTTCATCTCTTACGTACCAATAAACCTACGAAATAATTACTACGTAACTAGAAACCAAAACGTTTACTTCTTCATGAAATTCTTTTGAAGACTTAACGTTGTCAGCAACAAGTTTAACGGTGGCAGTACCCCAGGCGCCACAACCAAGAACGACAACACGTTTCACCATTAGAAAAATTTGAAGTGTCTCCCAGAAAAGGTCAAATAAAGTAACAACCTTAATAAGTTTTAACAAAAAATATTGTATGCAACTTAGTTCCTATACAACTACTTTTATGGCATCGACTTCCAAAACGCTGTTGATTCTCTAATTCACAGATATATGACCGCTTCAATTAATATGGAAGGTTGAGACAGAGACAAATAATTAATCTGAAATTCAGATGAAATTGCGCAATGTTATTTTTGAGATGTTATATTTGGCTACGATAAGCGGTAAAATATCCATAGTTGGAAAAGCCTCATATGCATAAGTAGTTTATGATAAACTCCTTAGTATTCCACAGAAACAGAAATAAGTTAAAGTTAAAGTGGACTATAAATTGTGCCTTGGAGCATATTGTAGCGGTAAATAATTCCCCAAAGTTATTGACCGTAGGAATCATCAGTGAACATTGGATGCTGACCCTTAGTGTTTAAGTCGACTTGTTTAGCTGAAGGCTTCCGGTCAAGCATCCTCGCCATTCGGTACTCCGTCGTGTCACTTTCGTGCACGATCACCAACCAGCTTAGCTTCCGCTTCAGTCCACGATTTGGTTCCGAAATATATCTCGTAGTTTGGAAGATCAGCTCTGGTCTTTTGCTTTGCCTTTGGTACACGAGAAACGAATACTATAGAAGTTAGTGTTATGAGATTTTATTTCATTTTATTTTTGATTACAGCTTGATTCCACTCTGTACTTTTGGTACAAGTATAGAATTTTCAGCATGGATATCGGTAGGCCAAATTTTGCAGGCCGACCATAGATATCATGTGTGCGTCGGCAGGGGATCGAACCTCGGATCATGTGCATGGTTGGTGAGAGTCCTAACCAATGTGCCACCGACGCACAGATCTTGCGTTAGTATACTCCGTACAATTCACGAAAGTCAATACCGTCAGCCTCTAAACTGGTGAGCCCAACCGCGAGCTTCATCTTCGATAAATACGCAGAAAACCCCGGTGAGTTCGTTCCATTTTGTATTTGTTTTTGTACTGTATTGAAATCGGTATAAGTTTCATCATGAGTGATACTAGTCCCAAGGTCACCCGTATTCGCTCAACTGCAAAAGCCATTCAGCTCGTACTACACAGGCCATATAAATGCAGTTGAAGAATGAACGATCAATTCATGGTTGTTTGCTCAAAACCAACTTCCCCAATTTTCGCGGAGGCATCAATACGACAGTCATCGTCTCATCGGTCGCTGTTCAGAAAGAAGTCAGGAGAAAACCGTCAGAAGTAATCTTGTGATTTATTATTGTAATATTTGTTCACAGACCTTAGTTGTAACATTGTTTATATGTTGATGTTACAATAAAGAATTCTCGAGTAGCCAGTCGGTGTTTTGGTTTTTGCGTCCGTTATTACTAAGCGTTTCTGAAAAACTTCAAGGAACAGCGTGAGCCCGAGCGTAGCAAGAGCTGGGCATTAACGGTTTACGAGACGTGGCTGACAGTTTCTGACGATAGAAACAGATTCTGGCGGATTCAGACAGTCGGTGACAGTTTGGATAGTCACCATTCATCTTTCCTGGTGCCGGTCAAGTCCTCTTTGAACAAGCAATATCTGGAACGTTTTTGGAATTGGGTCACGTATGGGTGACGTATGCGAGCCTCAGCCTTCTACACTCCCACTCCTCGGCGTGTCGGACCGCAGCTAACAATTATCTCCGTATGCATCTCATTCTCAGCAATAGCCTCCCTGGCGTATACGACCCATCTGCTGTCTCTAACATCAATCAATTCATTCACGGATGCAGAAGACTCGAAACAACTTCAGAAGTAATCACGACGAAAATTTTAACAAAATTATGTAATAACAACAAGGTACGGAAACAACAAGTAAACACAATGAATCCAAAATACACCAATTCACATGACACACCACACATATATACACACAGTACACACAAACTCGCGGATCATATCTTGATGGAATTCCTTTGAAGAATCACAGGACTTACACCAGTACGCCTACAACCCTTCTCAGGTTGTGGAATGTCCGGACACAAACAAGATTAACCAACAATTACAATAATTGGAACTCACACGATTATTTAACACAAACATAAGTACAACCAATACATCAAATGTTGTGGATTCTGGCATGACAAACTACCCTTGAAGAACTGTAGGACTTACAGATGTACGCCTACATTCCTTCTCAGGTTGATGATCCAAGTGGAAGTCATCCGGACACAAACAGAATTACCAACAGCTAGATGATAAATGATATCAATTCAGTATATACAATATGAACATATGTACAAAATCACACACCAAGCACATTGCACTGCTCATTGATGCGCTACCCTTTGAAGAACTGTAGGACTTACAGCAGTACGCCTACAACCCTTCTCAGGTTGGCGCTCCAGGTTCGAAAATCGTCGAAGAGTTCATATAATGACCTCCCTCCATCAGCTGTATCCTCAAATCTGGACGGTAACGCGCCCATGTCATTGTATCGTAGAACATAGATGACGAACAAACACACGACGTATCTGGTCAACCAAGCGTAGGCACAGAGTAATTTACACCAAAGATAATAGCATTCAAATAGTAACTTGAAACTAGAAATGCCTTTATTCATGCAAGTCAATTTAACAAATACTCTTTCGTTTACACTTGGCTTATTCTCACTAAACTGAGCAATATCTTTCGTCCTTTCAAATACACATGTACTATCATAGTCATTGCAGAAGATGCTTGAGTTGATGGGCATCTTTTCCATTGTGGATGACAACACCAACGACGACTGCGTGATACAAGTTGATGAACTTAGCGGTGGATCAGAAGCTGTTGTTGCTCGGCTTTCAGATATTTGTCTAACTGCAAGATTACCACCACTGCCGTCATTTACTATCAGCTCAGGTTTAGCACTAGCATCTGATGATAGGTGGGCTACATGCTGATCAATTACACTCACGGTCTGACAAGTATACATGCCTGCTGCAACTGCATTTATTTCTACTTCACCTTTGAGCTGTACAGAACCCTTATTCAACTTAGCAGTAGTAGGCATATCCCTTATCTCATCATGATCAACCAAAGACCAATGTGCAGTATCATGATCATTATCACGAATATTCAATTTACCATCATCTATCTGGTCGACTTCATCATTTTCAAACTCTTTCATAATAGAAGTAGACAATTTTGGTTCCTCCTCACAAATCACTAGAGGTTTTATACCTTCACTCTGACTACTAATACCTTGTAAACTGGCGTCAGAACTGTCCTCTGAGACAGTAACTCTCTTCTCTGACACTTTATTCAACAATGGCTTACCAGTTGCAACTACAGACTTCTTCACCGCACCGTTATCGTCACACAATTCGGAGTCAGGCCTGGAGTTTACATTTAGCTTATCCCTGAACTTGCTCACTGGTTCACAGTTCACTTCTGTATGCACCTCTTGCACACGTGTAAAACACAACCGTGCTTGTCTTGCATCTTGTAACTTATCTGTTGAGGATGTACTACGAAACCTGTTACACTCACTAGGTCTATATGCATTACTAGACATCATGCAGTCTTCTCGATATCCACCTCTCTGAGGCTCATTCGTCATCCATGAGTGCGTTTTACTCTCAAACTGCTCTATTCTAGGGGTGAGATGTAATAGACTGGCAAACTTGCTCATAGATTGATTGACGCTATCTTTTACCAGTTTCAGGATATCATCAAACTTTGGCTCGATACCCTCATCCTCCATACGGGAGCTCATCTTCACCCACTTCCTTTGCAGTCGAGTAGGTAGACGTCTTGCTATTACTTCTAGTATAAAACTCGAGTTGAGGTCACTCATTCGATTCATCGAAATCATTCCATTCTTGTAAATTAGCAAATTATCCAAAAACTCAGTGAGTGCCTGGGAGTCATCCTGTAATTGACCACCATTACCCTTAACAGCCTCGAATAATTTCCCTACAATCATCGAAGGTCTTCCAAACCTTTGACGTAATATGCTCATAGCCTCGTAGTAGCCCTCTTTTGGCTTCATAAACTTACAGCACTGTATAGCTCTTGCAGCAATTCCAGTGCAATATCTCATCAAATACATTAACTTCAATTCATCATTTAATAAAATACCACTCAACATGATCTAAAACTCCTTTACAAATTGTAAATAATCAGCTGGGTTTCCATCAAAACATCGTGGTTCAAATTTAGGGAGTTTGATGTTCCTATTATCCCTAAACGGCGAAACGGTAACATCAACCATGTCATACTTAACATCAGACACATCGTTACAATTAACAGACAAGTCACAATGACTTACTTTCCTGTTTGCATCCAAGACACTCTGTCCCTTCTTTGACCCAAGCATTGTTGAACTTGACCCAATTCCAAAAACGTTCCAGATATTGCTTGTTCAAAGAGGACTTGACCGGCACCAGGAAAGATGAATGGTGACTATCCAAACTGTCACCGACCGTCTGAATCCGCCAGAATCTGTTTCTATCGTCAGAAACTGTCAGCCACGTCTCGTAAACCGTTAATGCCCAGCTCTTGCTACGCTCGGGCTCACGCTGTTCCTTGAAGTTTTTCAGAAACGCTTAGTAATAACGGACGCAAAAACCAAAACACCGACTGGCTACTCGAGAATTCTTTATTGTAACATCAACATATAAACAATGTTACAACTAAGGTCTGTGAACAAATATTACAATAATAAATCACAAGATTACTTCTGACGGTTTTCTCCTGACTTCTTTCTGAACAGCGACCGATGAGACGATGACTGTCGTATTGATGCCTCCGCGAAAATTGGGGAAGTTGGTTTTGAGCAAACAACCATGAATTGATCGTTCATTCTTCAACTGCATTTATATGGCCTGTGTAGTACGAGCTGAATGGCTTTTGCAGTTGAGCGAATACGGGTGACCTTGGGACTAGTATCACTCATGACGAACATTAATCCGATTACAATACAGTACAAAAACAAATACAAAATGGAACGAACTC